GCTTTTCCCCATTCTAATTCCAATCGTGCATATCAAAGCGCTTGACTACACTATCTGCTTTAGCCTTATTAAGTGTTCATCTAAATTCTTTTCCAAAGCTATATCCAACCCCTTCGCCTGACAAGATGGTCTACCTAACTGTTATCACCCGCGAGGTGTCTCCTGCGATCAAGGAGTGTGAGTTGACACACATTAACAGGGAGCCGATTGACTACCACAAGGTTGTGCAGCAACACGACGCCTATGTGAGTGTCTTTGAGAAGCTCATAAAGGAGGGGTATGATGTGGAACTGATCCGGCTGCCGGCGCTCGCGGCGTACCCTGACAGCATGTTCATGGAGGACGTCGCGATGTTCTACGACGGCTGCGCCGTCATCCCACGCGCGGGTGCTGAAAGCCGGCGCGGCGAGGCAGATCAGGCTCGGCGTTGGGTGGAGTTCCTACGTCCTGGTCACACCTACGCCCTCGAGAAGCCCGCGCACACCGATGGTGGCGACGTTTTCCCTGTAGGAAAGTACATTTTTGTCGGGCAGTCGACCCGCACCAATGATGAGGCCTTTGCGCAGCTCAAGAAGATCACGGATAACTATGCGTATGTGGATGAGAACGGCAAGGGGCACCGCTACGAGTGCGTTCGGCTGCCGGTGAAGGGGCGGCTTCACACTAAAACAGCGGGTTCGTTCCTTACGGACTCTGTGGTGCTTATGGATACCAACGCATGCCCCGCCGAGGCTTTCACGTCGCGTGGCATCGAAGTGCTTTCTGCACCAGCTTCCGAGGAGGGCGCCAGCAACCCCTTGTCATTCACTGTACAGTTCCCAGATGGCTCACATTTCAAACGCGTGGTGGTGATCAACGCCGGATATCCCAAGACATCCGAGCTTGTGCGTAACTTCGCGAGCCGTGAGACGCAGGCTGGCCGCCCAACGGAGGTGGTGGAGCTTGAGATGGATGAGATTGCTAAGGCTGAGGGATCTCTCACCTGCCTTTCCTTACTTTGCTATCATAAGAAGAGCGGTAACATCTCTAAGGGTACTTCCCAGTCGCGTTAATTTTTCTTATATATAGAGAGGTACGCGTGTTAGCTGGTTGCTCTACTTTGTGACACTCAATGTTTTCAAGCGTAGCGATATATGATGCGAGTGGCTTCATCCTCTGTGTGACAACAGCTTATCAGAATGAAGGCGTATGAGAGTTAGGCAAACGTTCCAAACACCACCAACATGCATTTCCCGAGATTGCACTATATACATCTGTTGTTCGATAAAAATTCCGTCTCCATTTATTTAATTTTTCCCGATTCTGTTAATTCGTTGGAGGAATTGAAGTGAAAAAGCTATAGCTCAGAAGCCTAAATTTTACATTTGTATGAGAGTCTGTCTAAATTGGCATCGACTTCATCAAACTTAAAAATAACAATCAATGCTTCGATCCAATCCTTTATGCACATAGTAGAATCAGTGATGTCTATTACTTGCTTTGCATTTCGGAGAATGCATTTAGGTTGTGATTGATCTGGGTATTCGAGTGAAGACTGATTCACGTGCTTTACTTCAAATTTTTGATAACTGAATATATAAATTCCAGAGAATGCTTCATTTTTTAGCTCATTTTGGTTTGAATATTACGCAATGATATTTTCGATGAGAACATTCTGCCTAAATGATCTACTGCAGTTATGCACACAATATATAGTTAAGCTGTCATAGGTGTCATTCTTATTATCTCCCAGATTTAAACTTAGAAAGAATGATTTCCCCTCTATATACATATATATTGCGCGTATACTTATGGGCATGCGTACGTTTTGTTAATTATAATTTGTTCTTTTTTCACTGAATATCATGAAAAAAGAGAAAATAGGAGTGTTTATCTAATTATTCCCAAATATTCGAGACGGGCGATTCTATAATC